TTGCAGTTTTCTGGTGAGATTTATTAAATTGAAGACAAACAGTGCTTAAGGGAACTCTTGTAATCCCACCCACACGTTTTGTCGGAGAAGTTCATGTACAAGGCTCAAATAACCTGAGTTGCTAAGACGCTGTAGAGAAATCAAACTAGGAAATTATCTAACTTCAAATGAGTATACTGGAAAAAATGAAAATTTTATTTTACAAATTTGAATTCACTTTTTTATCAGGAATATTATTCTAAAATTTTAATAATAACTTTCCTTTCAATAGAGCTTTGCAGATATGCTGTTACTTTCCACTAATGTTAGATAAGTAGAGAGAGCATTAACTTTTCCAGGCCACTTAAGAACTCTTTAGAGTCTGGAACATCCTGAAGAATAATAATTTCCTGTAAATTTTTCTAGTTCATGATCTGCTTAATAGTAATGTACAAAACATCAAAATGTTGTTAGGAAAAGCTTCCTCACTCTTTTCCAAGATTTTAATGATCTCCAAACAGCAGTTTTCAGCTGAGATAGTGTAATCTTATGCAATAAGTCCTTTTTGTTTTTGTTCCATTCAAGAAAATGATGAACATTGTTCATCTGTCAGCTATAAACTAATATGTACTAATTGTTTAAAACAGTGTTTACTGTATAGTGCCAAGACAACACCTGGATCATTTCCTAAATAAATGAACTTACGTATTCACATTCATAACTCATTTCCTTGGTATAATAATAATTTAGCTGCTTCTGTCTCACTGTTTATATAACTTTTGTTTATTATACTTTAGGAAAAGCAAAAATACATTTATGAAATGCTAAAAAAGAAACCATTTAAAATGTAAACTCCAGTATTAGGTCATTTATTACTTTGATTTCTGGGTTTTTTGTGAGTTGTATGTGTGAAGGTATTATATTCTAAATATATTCAAAATATGTTCTTCTGAAGTTTTATTGATAAAAATATTTTTCTATTATTTCTCACTTTCCAGATTTCTCATTCTGTTTATCGTGTGTCTGTTTGTAATGGAACCTGAGCTATGTCCCAAAGGTAAACATGCTCAGTTGTTTGGAAGTAGACAGACAAATGCACTTGGTGCAAGCTGAGTAGATAGCAGAAGCAGCAGCAAACTAGAGCTTTCAGCTAATTTTGTTTTCTTTATACAAACTATTCCGTTCAGTGTCGTTTTATTTATGATCTGCCTTAGGCTCTGGAAATGAGCAACAGCCGTGTGCTAAGCACACTCTTGGGTATTTTGAAAATATTGTTTCTCTTACTCTTCATGAGAATCCTTAAAATGGGATTTATCCTTATCTTACTGGTATGAAAGCTAAACCTCAGAGTTTAAATTAAAGTAAAGTAAAGTAAATCTTTGACTCTTAGGTGCTAAGAGAGTTACAAAGATAAGGGAGATATTGTCCTGGCCTTTTGGACAGGGTTTGAAAATTAAACATAAACACACACACACACCCCCCTATAACAAGAAGTAGCATGTGATGAATTATATAAAAGGCATAAAACTATGGTATGTGGAATCTTATCTTTCTTAAATTTTGCATATTCAAAATTTTAGCTCAGCAAACTAGACTATCTGAGAGGTCTTAGCCAAAGATATGTGCCATTTATACCATATATGTTTTAAAAAACAAAAAGTTTTAAATCTTAAGCCTTCGGCTAGCCTGTGTACACCTATGAATCATAGCAACAAGATCAAAAATCATGACGACCTAAAAAGACAAAGGCTAGAGTATGCAAAGTCTGAATCCTAAATACTGAAATTCAAAAGTCAAGTAAACAGTTAGGATTCAGAAATGAAGGCAAAGCAAATCAGACAAGAACCAGTCAAGGAGAATGAGATACACAGGTGCCAGGCAGCTTTGGATATCAAGATAAAGTACCAGAGACAAAAGTTTAAAATGAGACATCTTCTGTGTCAGCCAACAAGTGTCATATGTTTCCTGCTGAGATAAAGCTATCCCTCATTCTGCAGCTGGGAATCAGTAATCCCAGATAAGGTGATGAGATATGGATGAACCTGGCCAAATAGGGAATGTGAGGCCTGAGGACATACTAGGACTCAGTAGAAAGTTTGGTTTAATATTTAAATTTTGCTTTATAAACATGTTTTCTGAAACAAATCTATTGGATATGTGTAGAAATAATTATATTTTTATTCTATCTTAGAGCAGTCCTAAAATAATATATTTAACATTGAGTATTTCTTCCTAATATTTCTTTTGGTAAAGATATTCCTAGAATTGATACTAAGCCAGTATTCAGCTACTGTCTAATGTAGTCATCATCATCATCATTGTCGTCATCATCGTCATTTATGAAACACTTGTTTTGTGTCTGATATTGTGCTAAGTGCTTTACATACATTATCTTATTTAGTCCTTGCAGCAAACCTAGGAGATGGGTACCATTGTTATCTGCATTTTAAGAGATGAAAAGCTGGAACTCACAGAAGCAATTAGCCCACAATCACAAACCTAATAATTTATGTAGCCAGAATTCAGACCAATGATTCAGTCTCACTTCAGAGCACGTGATCTTATTGATTACATTATTACCCCTACTCCCTCTTAGAGTTAAAACTTATGGTTTTTCATTTGAATTTAGATGATATAATAATCCCATGAGCAAAAGCAAAGAAAAAAATATAATCCCAAAACTGCTTTTCTATTCAATGATGAATTATTTTAAAAGATGTAATAGCAGACTGCTTCTTTTTTTTATTATAAATTATAAGAATGAGAATTATAAAGTCCTCTAAATATAGTACAGTATGTATCTAATCCTCTAATACAGTACAGTACAGTCTCTATTGAAGAGGTTAATAGTTCTGAAAATTTTCTTAAAACATCCATTTTTCACATAAAGGAAATGTCCAAAAAGTATATAAATAAAATAAAATACTTCCATTTATGTCATGACTTGAAGTTAAATTTACTTTTAATAAATTTGGTGAAACATATATAAATATCCAATGTATTATACATGTATGTGCAGATATTCTCTTAACCCACACTGGCTAACATAGTAATGTTGGATCTACCCATTGAAATGCTGTTCTAGGCAATGGCTGAAGACATTGCCAGTTAAGATAAATTGTTTTTGATATTTTAAAATGAGTTTAGCTTAAAAAAGATATCATGAGGGCCGGCCCCGTGTCTTAGCTGTTAAGTGCACGTGCTTCGCTACTGGCGGCCCGGGTTCAGATCCCGGGCGTGCACTGACGCACCGCTTGTCCGGCCATGCTGAGGCCGTGTCCCACATACAGCAACTAGAAGGATGTGCAGCTATGACATACAACTATCTACTGGGGCTTTGGGGGAAAAAATAAATAAAAACAAAACAAAACAAAAAGATGTCATGAACTAAATGTTCTCTAAATAAATCCACTGTAAATAAATAATCTTCCCTTTAAAAGCAACATGCGGATTCTATTTACAAAGATATTTCCTGAAAAGAAGGCAGCAATTTTTTGAAGAATTTATTTGTATTCTTTTTGATAATTGAGAGTTTATCCATTAAAGTGAAAAGGTAAAGTGGGCTAAGAAAGGCCAATATCTCACCTAATTTGAATGTATATTTCTAGATTAAGGTTTTGATTATTAAAATTTTATGGAGCCTTAGAAATAATCCTTTTATTTTATATTTGAAGAAAAGGATTAGTTATTAACTCAGAAATATATAACTAGTTACTGGGATATCCTGGGGGAAAAACCCAGATAATTTGAATCTGATCGAATATTTATACTATACCCTATTACCATTCATTTTATCTTAGCCAAATGTTTATATCTAGCTAATATTTGCAGTGAATTGTTATTCATACAGGGACTATTTATTAGGTGATGATTCTTCAAGTCACAGTAAATGGTTTATATAAGATAATCATCTTTCCAAGACTTTGTGAACTTTGCCAGAATCTATGATTAGAAAAATCTCCATTATAAAATTGATTAGATAAGGATGTTTCAGTATTATGTTTGAAGTGCATACAAACAAAGAAAAATCTATTAGCAGATATTCTTTTAACCCAGTAATAGCCATCAGGTAGTAATGATACAGTAATAATACTGGGTGCATTTGTTTATATTATGCCAGATACCAGACGTGTATTATTTCTAATTTTCAAAACAACCCTGCAAGGAAGGTATTATTATCCCTATTATTTTATAAACAGGCTTTTAAAGGTTAAATAACTTGCTCAAGTTTACCCAGCTAGTAAGTTTGCCTTACTCCAGGTTTTCCAGACTCCAAAATCTATTCTTTTTTACATCCCAAATGTCATTAACATAAAACATTTATGATGGTTTTCAGTTGACCAGAATATTTGAACACCTAGAACACCCTGCACCCTGGCTGTGCCAGATAACTATCTGATTATTTCAATTCCAGGAAGTTGAACCTATTGTAAATAATAATGACTTTTTCTAATATTTCTAGGATTCATCAAAATTCCAGCAACCATTCAGAAATTAAACTTTCTCTTTTCTCTTGGCTTTTCTAAAAAATGTTAGTGTTTTAATAATTAGGTTTTGTGTTATCTCTAGGTTTTCAGTGAAGCATACTGGATTAAAGAGAAAACTGATGGCTGCTAAAATTGGTTTTTAAAAGTTACAACGGCAACTTTTATCATACTTTTTTTTCCAAATTTTATTAAGAAACAAAATAAATTCTACTTCCTAATGTTAAGCCAAATGTTTATTTCCCAGATTTTACCTAAATATTCTTCTCTGAGGCCATTGCTGTTGTGAAACTATTTTAATGGCCTTCATTGGGGTGTGGTGAAAATGCTCTAATTGCCTTTGCTAAAAACAAAGGTTTCATATAAACTGAATTTTTCTTTTAGGATAATTGCCATGCACTTTTGTTTTATATGCAACTGAGTGGGGTTCTGCAGTATCCTCTGTGGACAGTTAAAGTGCTGAAATAGGAGAAGCTAATAATTGCTCTGTGTGGTAATACTGACAACTTCTGCGTATTTGTCAATCTGTGTCAACAGTATCGATCAGGATGGGATCCTCATAGAGGGGCAGATAATATTTCCACTAAATCTTCGGACAGTGATGTAAGTGATATATCTGCGGTTTCAAGGACTAGTAGTGCTTCTCGTTTCAGCAGCACAAGCTACATGTCTGTCCAATCAGAACGGCCAAGAGGAAACAAGAAAATCAGGTGAGTAAGGGGCCTTGAGCAGGAAACTCCTCTAAATATGTTTTAGAAGGTCTTTATTTTTCATAGATCAACATAAAAGCCTTTATTTCTAAGAGGTTAATATATGTCAATGAGAACTTCTGTATATATTACTTTTTATTTTGTTTTGATCTACTTTTCAAACTTCTTGCCAGAAAAGTTTTATAGAACTTATAACAATTCTCTTACAAGATTACTTGAAATAGTCATTAGTTATTTTTTCATGTTTGCTATTTAAAAAGTAATTCGGTTATTATTATATTTTTACTGAAATTAAAGTGATGGTTAAGTGAAGATATGAATTATTTAATGTTCCATGGAATGTGAAAAATAATATTTTGGAGGGTTTTTTTCCTAGCTGAATACATTTCAGTGATTCAGAAAACATAAGAATATTACTTTTTAGTAGAATGCTCTCCCATCCTCCTGAAACTTTTATAAATGTGTGGAAAAGTCCTCAGCTTCCCAAGAAAATTGATAAATCTAATATATGTTAGTATAAATTTGCATTTATCACTTGACCTATAGATTTTATGGGTACTTGAGCTAAATTATTTTTTTTACTCCTATTGGATCAAAAAAAACCTATAATGGAAAGACCACGATTATTTTCCATGAGACTTTTGTAACAGGAAAATATGACTTAAAAAAAATTATGATTAAGTGGTGCTTACACACTGCTCTGGTATACACTGGAAAAAGGTTTTCAATGTTTAAAAGATGTAATTTTTATGTTTTAGTAGTTTTCATTACCTTTCTGTTTAATTTCATATGTAGTTTTTCTTGACTTTTTCTTTCTTTTTTGTGTTTATTTGCATGCCCTCAATTTGTGTTGCTTTCAAAGGCCGAAGGGAATAGAAGAGGGAGGGAAAGAAGGGGATAAGCATGAAGAGATAGTTCATGAGGAGGAAGAGGTAAAGGAAGAAAGAATTAATGAGAATGGGAAAGAGAAAGAGATTACAAAAACATGTAATAAGGAGAAAAACAGAGAGTCAGGAGATGAGGAAAAAACCCAAGACATACCTGAGCAAGGGAAAGAAAAAGAACAGTGGAATAAAGAGGATTTGCAGAGGCGATTCTCACAAGATGATGACAGGTAAAATATGCTTTTTTTTGTAGACATTTCCCATTAGTAATGTAGTCTTTTCTTCCTACTCCTAAAAACTATTTTGCCATTTACATTTGGTTTATTTTCTTGTGTTTATTTAGCTTTTAATACAACTAAGTAATATGTTGGCAAATTACTATCAAATCGACTGATTTATTAAAGTCTTTAATTTTTATCTGCTACCTCTGAGAGTCTGATTTGGTTTTCAAGTTCTTCATAACTAGCTGAATCAAACTTAAATTTCCCTTCAGTTGTTTTAGCATGAATTACTGTATATCTTCCTCATTTGTAGAGTCAAAACCATTAAAATGAGGTTCTGAAGAGACTGAAAAAATTTAGCCTACCTTAGAAGAAATATTACATACTGGAAATGAATTTTTAAAAGTGGCAAAATAGCTAACAAAAAGTAAGCTTTATTCAGTCTCTGGCTCCCTTGCCTCCTAGTTTTTTGGTGGGTTCTGATGGCAATCTTGAGTCCTGAGGAAGATCGTGAAGCAGGGACAGTGCTCTTTGATAGTCTGAAAAGAAAGTGTAGATGCCCCAGGGCTTATTAGAAGGCAAACAATTGGGTTACGCCCCTCTTGAAATTCATTTAGCTAGAGAAAGTGCCGGAGAAGGGAGTTTGAACAGAGAAAGGCAGGGAAAAAAGCACGAGCAACAAGCCATAAAAACGAGTATGTTTTCATTTTCATAACACAAGGCACTAAATATGAAGCTATCTTGACGGTGCTGTACAGAAAGTCAAATCAGCGCAGGTATGCAAAAGGACTGCATCCTTCTGCCTGAGGAGATGAGGTTTCTCTAAATACATTTATCTGAGATGGAGAATTGCAAATCATGTACATTTTGGAGGAACTGGATTTTCTAATAGTCCATAATCTGATTTTGTGTTAGTACAAAGTCTGCTTGATAAGCACACCCTATTATAGGCCAAAGTTTGCATTATTATTTCTAAACCCATTCTCAATTTGTGCTTTACTCATAATTAATGAGAAAGATAATTGGGACCGATGTTTACCCCTTTACAATTCAGTGGTTTAGTCTATGATACTTCACTTTTTGTCTCAGATTGGTGTGTTTACCTATATCTATGCTCTATGAAAGTTTATGTATAACAGACTTTAAAGCTAAAAATGAATCTTAAGTTAGGCATATTTTGTGATTTGAGTCTAAACTAGTAATTTCAAGTCAATTTATCCAACTTTTGATAATTACATTAGTTTATTAATGAAGACCTTTTTTTTGATTTGTTGGGCATAGGATCCTTTCATCAATTCACAGAGAAAAGCTTCCAAGGTTTCCTTGGAAAGAGACATAGAGTTTCCTTTCTTCCAAAAGCGGAGCAAAATGTGCTTCTAATGTGTTTTCTTTTGTATGTACTGTATATAAATGAGAACACATGAGTCCATTGGTGTTTGCCTGGTGCCCAAAGCCTATGCCAGCTTACCTGGCTTGGTGGACAGAGGTTTAGAGCAGACTATAACCTTAAGTTCCCAGTTTTTTTGTTTTTTTTTTGTGTGTGTGTGTGTGAGGAGGATCGGCCCTGAGCTAACATCTGCCAATCCTCCTCTTTTTGCTGAGGAAGACTGGCCCTGGGCTCACATCCATGCCCATCTTCCTCCACTTTATATGGGACTCCACCACAGCATGGCTTGACACGCGGTGCGTCGGTGCGCGCCCAGGATCCGAACCAGCGAACCCTGGGCCACCGCAGTGGAGCTCGCGCACCTAATCGCTTGTGCCACCGGGCCAGCCCCTAAGTTCCCAGTTTTTAATATTACTTTCTTCATCATGTTCTTCGGGAAAAGAGCACATTATTTTACAGGGAAAGGGAAAGGTGGTATATTCCTAGCAATCTGAATCATCAAGGCACTATACTTAGCTTAAGTGACTATAGAATACTTCTGGAACTGTAAACTAAAGAAGGCCAGGCTGATCTCGCCAGGGAACATATATTCCACAAGATGGCAAGAAGTATCAGCTGCAATTATTTATAAGAAAATGTTGGTGTCCCTAATTAATTATTGCAACATAAGATCTTGAATTTGCTTTCATTTTTTAGAATAAAACTAACAATCTTTATTTTGAGAGAAAATATGTCTGAGTACTACCAGTGTCATTTTTTTGGTACTTGATGAACACAATCATAGATTAAATGCTAAAAACAGCAAATGTGCTTATACAACATTACTGGAAATAATTTTATTCTATGAAACACCATTGACATTTTATGCCTTTTGTTTGTAATCTAAGTTTTATAAGCGAAAAATATTTTCTGACTTCAGAGTTTAAGTATTTGTAGCAATACTAGTACTTAAAATTAACACAGTGACTGCAATGAACAAAATCCATTATAGTTGCTATTTTCATTACAGTAATTGGATCTCATTGCATGGTACAGAATTATGTTGTTTCTGTTATAGTAGTTTTCATTAAACTATGTCTTTTGAGTGTACAAGTACGAAATGAATAGCAAAAAGTAAATTCAGGGGCTGGCCTGGTAGCGTAGCGGTTAGGTACACACTCCACTGCAGCAACCCTGGGTTTGGATCCTGGACACACACCGACACACCACTTGTCAAGCCATGCTGTGGCGATGTCCCATATAAAGTAGAGGAAGATGGGCACAGATGTTAGCCCAGGGCCAGTCTTCCTCAGCAAAAAGAGGAGGATTGGCGACAGACGTTAGCTCAGGGCTAGTTTTCCTCACACACACACAAAAAAAGCAAATTCAAAAAAGTTCATTAAATGTTTGAGTATAATATTTTTTCCATGTTGATTAATAAATGATATATTCCTATTTAGCTATTTATATTTACATACACATATATAGGTCTGGTAAAATGCTCCTGTATCGTTAATGATGACATGGTAAACTCTAGAAAATCCAAAATTATATTTACCCTTTAAAAAATTTTTTCACACTCTGTGTACATGTATTTTAAATTTGACATCTATTTACATTTGCTGATTATATATCAAATTATGCGGTAAGCTGGCCCAGAAAGGAGAAATCATTCATTCAACCAATATTTATTAGAAAGTTTCTCAGACATTGTACTAAGAACTGGAGATAGAAATGAAATTAAACATTTCCAAACTCTAAGCCTGAGAGTGAAAGCAGTTTCTTAGCCTTGTGTGGATGGATGTTTAAGGAGAGCTTCATATCCAAAACATGTCATCAAGATACCTAAACAAATTTACAAGGATATTTGACAAAAGAATTTGACACGGAAAGGAGAGATCTTAAGCAAATCCGCTATGGAAGATAGAAAAAACAAATACTGAAAAGTACAATATTGTCAAAGCCAACAATGTTGATAGCTTTGTGATCAAACTAGACTCATTCATTCTTCCAAGCTCTGTTCTGGAGACATAAGACAAAAGACTAAAATTCAAGAAACTCGTTCTCTATAAATTTTTAGTTCTCAGGAATTTCTGTAAATGCTATGGAATTATAATTTCTCTTTTTAAAGAGAATGTCCTTAAGAAAGGGAAATTTTTAAAGGAAAAAGATGACATGAGTTCAAATTTTCATGAATAGCTGTTTTTTTTTGTTTGTTTTTGTGAGGAAGATCAGCCCTGAGCTAACATCCATGCTAATCCTCCTCTTTTTTGCTGAGGAAGACTGGCTCTGAGCTAACATCTATTGCCAATCCTCATCTTTTTTTTTTCCCCAAAGCCCCAGTAGATAGTTGCATGTCATAGTTGCACATCCTTCTAGTTGCTGTATGTGGGACGTGGCCTCAGCATGGTCAGAGAAGCGGTGTGTCGGTGCGCGCCCGGGATCCGAACCCGGGCTGCCAGTAGTGGAGCACGCGCACTTAACCACTAAGCCATGGGGCCCTCCCCATGAATAGCTGTTTTTAAGAGG